CCAAATACCAGGGCTTTAAAACCTAAAAAAACATTTCGCCTGTAAAATCGCGGGTCTACTCATAATAAAAACATTTTTTTTTTAAATTTGCTATGTCATGTTTGGCAGAACTAAGACTACCAACCTTTCTTTTTGTCGATTGGTTGGTAACGGAGATTTGGGTTAGTAGGGGACACGAGGGGAACGTCCCCCACCCCACCCCCGTTTTGCCATTACATTTTAAAATTTTCTTTATTTTTTTGACCTCCTTCCCCACCCCGTCAGTCAATTTCTGGAGCTACCATAGTGTATTATTTATAAGGTTTAGCCATATACAAATATATTTCTATTACAATGCACCTAAAAGTACTACTAAATATAAATTTGCATTTTCACTGTTAGTAGTCGTTCTTAGGATTTGATTTCAAAAGTCAAAATGCATTCAAATTATTTCGCTGTGCTGTATAGGCTGGTATTCAATATTTTATTGTTATCTGCTGTATTATATATAAATTACAACTTTAGGACCATGCATGACTACAGTTTTACTTTTAGAGATTTATTTTTCTAAGCTGACATTTATGCATTTTAAATATTAAACATCAGTTTGTATGAAAACAAAGTTATAGTATGAAGGTAAAGGAATCTACTATTTTCTATAATATCCATATAACCACCATGTTTTTATTATAACTTCTGATTGATTGTGCTTACAGTTATAGCTCTCAATTACTGTTATTTAGTAGAAAAACACTTTTAATTTCTTGGATAATTGCTGCATACAGTATACACATTTTATTGGTGACTTCAAAGCTTGAGGATCAGTTTATTAACAAAGCAATTTTCACAATGGCTTTTTCATTGGCAGTAAAACACCGACTCCAATAAATTTTCCTTCTTTAATAGTGATGATAATAATATTTAAGTCACTTGTTTCTGCGTGGAGAGGAGGCGAATTGGGACAGGTTGACTGCTTACTGATTGACTTTCTGAGGTTTATTGATCGGTTGGTTGATTGATTAATTGATTGGTTGATTGGTTGATTGATTGATTGATTGATTAATTGGTTAATTGATTAGTTAATTTATTGATTAGATGATTGATTGGTTAAATGACTGGTTGGTTGGCATAATGATTGGATGGCTGATTAAATGATTGATTGATCAATTGATTTATTGGTTATTGATTGGTTCGTTTGTTGATTCATGTCTAATTTATCTTTTGATTGTTGTGCGGTTTAATAATTATTTTCGATCAACTTATTATTTCTGCTTTTTCTTCCCTCTCTTAATCATTTTACACAAGACAGATCTCCAAAAAGATTATATAACTTTACGTTCCACTGTAAAACCTTCATACAGAGTGAGCAATGGAACTAAACTTGAATAGGCTTAGATCTTCTGCTTGTAGGCGAAGTCCAAAATATCGATTAGCTTGCGTACCTTGTAGGTAGTCTGATATTCCTGATAAAATAGGCGCGATCGGGGATTCTTCTCAAGTCACATTTCAAAATGCTCTTAAAAACAGTTTTAAAGTTCGGATGTTTAGTTGCATATATGAGAGGATTGAGGCTACTATTCAGTATCAAAAGCAATGCAGTATAGGGAATGGCTTTAATGGAGCCAACACCACTCACCAGCAGATTCACGCCATACGGAGTTACGCAAATAACATAAACGACCACGACACAAAATAAATTTTTTGTAACTTGAATCTGGGTCTTGTTTTTGCGGTCTTGCGTTAAATTGTCCATATTATCTATGGTATAATTTGATGATGTCAACTCAGATTTCATCATTATTTTTGTATGCCTACGAATATGAAAAAATAATTGTATACAGCAGATGAATATCACTAGGAATGACACTGGGTACAGCAGAACCGCAAGAAGCATACTGTACGTCGAAGATTTAGGGTGACTCGTGTCCCATGTACATGAGTTGTAACGAGTATCATACCCTAGTTTGCCGACATCAAACAACGCTGGGATCGATGCGTAAAAAACTGACATCGACCAGATACAAATTAGTGCAGCTATCACCCAGCGGCGTCTGAACGAGCAAGCATTACCATAGTTACGTTTACTTGTGATCAGAATCAGACGACTAATTGCTATCATAGCCATCGTGTAAATACTGCTGGATATACAAACGACCGATGCTCCCGCTGCCCACACACACAGCCAATCCCCCAGAGGCCAAGATCCATTGGCGGTTGACAACAATGCTACTATTTGCCACGGTATATTCAAAGTAGTTATTAGATCCGTAACAGCAAGATTAACAACGTAAACATTAGTTACGGTACGTAAACGCCGTGAAATAATTACGGACAGGATTACTAGACCATTACCAACAATACCTGTTATCATTATCAATGTCAAACAAACTACTTGAAATGTACGTTCAGCGCTGCTCCATGTTACGACTGGAGTAGTCCTATTGGTAGTTATGTAAGGACTTGTTGCATTCATACTGCGTCCAAGAATGATTTCTCAGCAGCATAGATCCCGTACTAGGCCTTATAAAAAGAATTTATGCCGTTATTGTGATGACAACTTCCAATTTTTAATGACGCATCGTATTGGTTTCGCGATAACAATGACTCGTCAAACGGGCAACATTGAAAATATATTTTAGGGACTTAGAGTATGTACATTTCACCTTGAATATAGCCTCTCCAACTTCCTTAGTTTGTGTTTATTTCCTTTATCCTTGTGATCTTTAATATGTCAATTGACGTTCAATTCTATAGAACATTGAGTAATATTTTATACTTTAAAAGAAAACCTTTTCGTTTATTGAAATTGTTCATATACAGTTTATTTATCTGTCGTCTCAGTTTAATCACATGCTTACAACAGGCGCGGATCCAGACCTTCGCACCGTTTGCCACGGCTAGTATCGTATTTATTTATTAAAAATGCGTTACGACATTTAAATAAATGGATACCCAGGTAGCAGAGTTTGTGGGGCCCTTATATGAAATATATGGGCCATGTGGGCAGGCCCATACCACACATAACCCTTATGGGGCTTGTATGGGCTACACCATATGGAATTTAATTCTAAGGGTCCCGTAAGGGAGAAAGATCGAGAAACCAATATGAGTAACATTTGGCACACAGGGGAAAATATTGGCATACACGTTCGGAAGGTTTATGGGTCAGCCCATGTGGGAAAAGTATTGGCAGTCACTAATGGGTACTATGTGGGCAAAGACATTTGGGAACGTTGTATAAAAAGTACGGGCATGCCTATATGGGTAAGAGAATTTGGAGCCCACAAAAGAAAAAAACTGGGCAGACTCATAAGGGCTAATTCTGGGACAGCCTATGTGGATGAAGGATGGGCAATCACATATTGGCACTATAAGGGCCAAAACATTTGGGATACATATTTTCAGACTGTGGGCAGGCCCAGATGGTTTAGCATGTTTGGGGCCTTGAGGGCAAGCAATGGGAACATTCATAAGGGCTCTTTGTGGGTCAGCCTTTGTGGACAGATTATGGGAAATCATATATGGGATAAGCATGTGGGAAATATATTTTTTCAATATGGGCATACCCATATAGGTGATCCTATTTGGGGCCCACAAGAGAAAAAAAATGGATGAACCCATTTGGGCTATTCATGGGTCAGCCCATGTGGGCAAAGTAAGGGGTTATAATATATGGGCGATATCAGGGCCAAAACATTTGTGATATATATATTTTTTAATATGGGCAGGCCCAAATAGTTTAACACATTCGGGGCCCTTGATGGCAAGAAATGAAAACATTCATAAGGGTTCTTTGTGGGTCAGCCACTGTGGGCAAATTAGAAGAAATAACATATGGATAAATATGGGCAAAAGCATGTGGGAAATATATATTTTTTAAATATGGGTAGGCCCTATAGGTAATCCCATTTGAGTCCCACAAGAAAAAAATGGGTTATTACTGTGTCCAGTGGCGTATCTAAAAGTCTTGAAATGGGGGTGCTGATATGGGGCTCGAATGTGAAGTGGAAGGGCTCGATGATCAGTTGAGGGGCGCTAACTTGCAAAATAAGGTGATTTTAGGTGATTTTTAATTACTTTACCGTTATTTTTAGAGGTAAAACCGGGGAGGGGGAGGGTAAATTTTGTAGGGAGTATGATCTCGGAAACCCCTACCTCCTGCACCCAGATACGCCACTGTCTGTGTCAGCCAATATGTCGGCAAAGTGTTAGGTTATCACATAGGCCTATGATTACTATAAGGAATGAAACATTTGAGATATATTTTTTAAATATCGGGAAGTCCAGATGTTTTACCACCTTCAGCCCATGAGGCTGAAGGAGAGAAATAGGAATACCTGTGGTGTAAAGTAAAGGACTATAAATTGGGGCATCATTGGGTCACTCAATTATAAGCACAAATTCTTTTAACTTAATCATTTTCTTAAAAAAGTAATTCAATGTCAATTTTCAACAACAGGCACTGTTCACCAACATGTGCTGTGCATACCTGCAATCTTTGTTGCTACCTTCTGCCATGGTCCAAGGCTACGCAGCTCGAATTACTTAAATCGGATTGGCGTAGGTCACTTCAAGACCAAGAATACTGGTTTTTGAATTTTTATCAGTTAATTGGTACAGTTACAGGTCTTGATGATAGGCGGTTTAAACATAGTGACCACGGGCGTGACTAGAGATGACATGGGCTAAAGCCCAACACAACAATTGGTCATCTCTAAAGCACTGGCCAAAAACAATACGATAAAATACATAAAATATATAGAAGAAAAAGATAAAACTTAAATATTCATAAGGTCAATAAAATAATTTAAAATAGTTAAGTACGTGTTAAAAAAAAAATCGGGAACGGGTGTCAGGATGAAGAGTGTTTTAGAGTTTATAACTGCTACTTACAAGAAATTCTAGAATAGAGGGGTATGAACGGGAGGCACGTATGATATATCATTATGGCGGGAATTCCTCACTAATGGAATATCCATTATCCATTGAGGATGAGAATTCTCCCCGAACTCCTCCTCCTCCAGTCATCCAAAGGACATATTAATTTAACAGCCTGAGCCGATCCTTGTTGGAAGGAAAACGAACCACAGGAGAGCAAAAGTCATGTTAAAAAGACGTGATTAAGGATCGCTTAAATTCTGCAAACATACCAATAAACCTTTATAGCGTTATCTGTTCAGTAAAAAGATGTATATTTACTTAATTTTCAATAAAAACAATTCTGTTTTCTGGCAGTGAATATGAGCCGATTAAATTTGATTGTTTTGTAGCAAAAATGTGGCCTAAGAATTCATATGGACGGTCTTCATATTTCCTCCTCCACGAACAACAGCTATTCTTGTCGCAGATCACAGTTCGCCAGGATTTGCCCGACGGGTGGTCCGTGGACCCCGATGGTGGGGGGGGGGGTGGCTGATGACCTTGACGAGGGGAGAGATTTCCCCGACGAAAGCAAAGTGGGCGCGGTCGAGCGTCACTTATAAGGTTTCGAAAGTGGTCCAGCTGGCACCACCCGTGTCGCAGATTTGTTGATGTTCTCAAGCTTCTCAACATGGGACTTCCGTCAGTTCCCAAACAGATCAACAATATTCTAAAGCAGGTAAAACAATGGATTTATACAAATGCAAAAAGAAGAGCGGACCCTTGGCCTACAGCAATACGGGAAATGAAACCAAGCGATCTAGAGGCTCTAGAGCAGACGTTACGTATATGAGTCCTAAAAGTGAGATCAGATGAGATATGAACACCGAGTAGCCTAATTTAGTTTCATGAACAAGTTCAATTTTGAGTTATAAATAAAAGGATTTTTGGTCAGGTGCGCATACTTACCAAAAATAAAGCAGGGCTTATGACACGTCCCTTTGGAACTCCAATAGGAATGGTCCCCCAAACCGAGGCAGCACCCCCCCCCCCCACAAAACAACCTCAAATTTTCTTTTAATAACAGTTTTAGCATTTAAGGGAATTCCCACGTATGCCAACATTGTGTAATTTAGTAAGCAATGAATAACCCTATCGAAGGCAGATGTAAATCTAAGCGGGCTACATCTATCAATTTACAAAATTGAGAAGTCCAATGATGATAAAGATTTGCTAATATCAATTCCGGATGGCATCTTCCGAAACCCTGTGTGGCTGACATAGTTGCATGGTCATCAAGGTAATTTAAAAGGGTCTCAAGCTCTTTCAAAAGCTTACGACGACAGAGGACAAGGTTACAGGGCGGTAACTACAAAAATTATACTTTCCAGTTCGTTTCCCCTTTATATACTGGCACAGTGTTTGCAGTTTCCCAAGAGGAGGGGGTGCTACCTTCCCTTAAGACACGTTAAAACATATTACAAATCCCAAAAAAGGTAACACTAAGACACTGCTTGATGATTCTTAGACTGATCAAGTCGGGACCCATAGCTGCTGAGTCTGAATTCATAGAACAAAGGTTGTTAAATATCTGCTCAATATTAGCCTCAACGTTTCCATAACAGGACCATAATGTTGCGAAGCAACATCACGATGCAAATCAATATTGAAGTCCTGTATTGACTGGACCAAAATCTGAGCTCAAATGTTGAGTAAGTACATCGGCAAATACGTCATGGTTGAGGTATTTAAAACAATACAAAAACAGTATTAAAACAGTGATTGCACCGTCGGGTGTAGTTTGCCTACTACATGAATACCGTACGGTGCAAGTAAAATTTTTCAACGCTGGGCAGAAGAAAACCGACGACAGTATAGCATACCGTGACATCTAATATTGATCTAATATGATATTCTGACTTGGCCTACTTGTTCAGCGGGCGCGGTAACATTTAGGCTCATGAGTGAAGGTAAACAACATACATATAGGCATCTACTACCCCCAATGTTAGTTGCACTAGAACCTTAAGTAAAAGCAGTACTTCATTACTTATTGAGTCAAGATGTCGCACAGACTAAAAAGAGTCAACAATACCTACCGGTTAAACTCACCTCTTGAATACCAGCATTCAGAGTGGACCGAACTAATTGGTCTCTTCCTCATCTTGTATCCCATTTAAATGATAATTTTCTTTTTGTGTGTGTATGTGCATTTAAATTTTATAATTTCAATACTAAATTTGTATTCCTACTGCAAAAACCTAATTTTTTGTAAGATAATGATAATTTAATGATAATTGCAATATTTCGACCTGTTAAATAAATTAATAAATTTGTATGAAATTTTTCATTAGTGTTGATCCAGCAAAATAAAAACCAATAGTACTCACACTACGTTTCGCGAACGATCCGAAGTAGACTGGTGATGTTATGTCCAGTCTGGTCTGACGTCACCTCGTTGTTGTTGAGGTCGAAGTGCATCGCTGCGTCGTCGACGAGCACCCCCTCCCCCTCTTAGTGTTGTGGTTCATCATAGATATGTGATAGAATGTGTCCTCCTTCATCTCTGTTCATAGTATCTGTTGTTTTTCTAATCCATAAAGATTCTCTGACTTTTCGTTCAAACCATGAGCTTTCTTTCTGTAATATTTTTATGTCCCAATTTGGAATATGATTTAGTTGTGTGGCATGATCGGTGATTGCAGATTAATTTAAAATTTTGGAATCG